TGAGCCATCTTAGCGCCAAACACAACGACCTTATGGGACTCGTCCTCATCCTCAGGAGAGGTCTCTGAGAGCAAACGAAAGGAGAAGGTGACTATTGGCGGGGGGAGGTGATTTAAGGCGTCTGAGAAACACGGAGAAAGGGGAGTAGAGGGGAAGGAGAGATTCAAATATATGGGAGGGGCCTATCAATTGTTGCTCAATCCCACAGGTCCCTCATCCTTCAAGTTGTGAAGGAATTCGCAGAGTGAGCAACAATTTGCCCTTCTGTAACCCCTTCCATCCAGGGATCTCAAAGTACTTCACAAACATTCACTCATTAAAACTCACACATCCCTATTAGCAAGTATCATTATCCCCCTTTTTACAAATAAGGAAACTGAGGCACAAAGAGGAAAAGTTACTTGCCCAAGGTCACACAGCAAGTCAGTAGCAAAGATGGGAATAAAACCCAGGTGTTCTGTCCCCTGGTCACTATGCAGTAAGCGTTAGAAAACATTTCACAGCTATTGCTGCTGTCAGCTCACTAATCCCACCGCTCGGGCTGGTATCACTGGGGTACACGAGACTCATCCTGCATCATTTTTGCTGCTGTTCCAAGTCACTGGCCCCTGGCAGCTAAATGACCATGGTGAGCCATTAAATATCTTATGCTTCCCAATATTGCTGTTGCTGCTTTTGTTCTGCAAGGACGTGAAAAGCTTTTGAGAAGCAAGACTTGCTCGGCTAATTGCATGAAGAACAACTGTAGACCACGGGGGTTGATTAACATGTAGCTGCTTGAGACTGGTATAAAATTAACTGCTTACTCCTATAACTCCTGGCAGGTTTTCTATTTCTCTTCTTCTTAGGGCTCATTTTGAGCAAGGAAAATATGCTTTGTAAATTGATAGCTCTGAAATGATGGTGGGGACAAGAGGGAGAAGTTGGAAATATAGGGCCAGATCCTCAGCTGGTCTAAATTGCCTCTGAAGACAATGGAGCTCCTCTGTCCATTCATGCCAGCTACAGATCTGGCCCATACATTTTGGATGTGGTAATTCTGATACAGTATGAAAAGGGAAGGGAGAGAGCAGCCCAAAGTCAATTTTCAATGAACTCCCTGTGGCAGGCCATTTTAAAAGAAGCTCATACATAAGATGATTCTGAACCTTTAAATACTTCTTTCCCCTATTAGTTCTATTGAATCACTTCAGAAAACAATTAAATTCCCTGAGCTAATGTTAAAAATTGTGATGGTGGATGTTTAGGCTCCTTTTTGGAAGAAATGGACAAGAAAATACATGCTGTACATTTAATGGGGAAATAAAGCTCATGTTTGACATTGACGGTGTCCCTCAGTTAGAGGGCTCTTGTGGTCATTTATAAGAAGAGTGAGACTGTTACAAATGTGTCTGCGAAAGCTGTTGGGTTTGGTTGATGGAGCAAGGGAAGTTATCCTCACCCCAACTTCCTATCTTTACTCTATACTGGTTGAAAGCTTGAAATCCCTGTGCAGATGAATAAGTACATGATAAATACAATGTAGTGGGAGAGGGGGGGAGGGATAGCTCAGTGGTTTGAGCATTGGCCTGCTAAACCCAGGGTTGTGAGTTCAATCCTTGAGGGGGCCATTTGGGATCAGGAGCAAAAATTGGGGATTGGTCCTGCTTTGAGTAGGGGGTTGGACTAGATGACCTTCTGAGGTCCCTTCCAACCCTGATATTCTATGAGTCTATGATCCTTCTGTTCTCTGTTCAGTGGGTTGGCCTCAGAGGCAAATTTATCTGAGGTACAACCTCATTGAGGGCAGCACTCTGCTAGGCATGAATTTGACCTTTTTTTTAGCCTAACCAAAGGAAGGCTGAGGGGAGATGATTGTTCTCTATAAAACATAGAGGAATAAACACCAGGAAGGGAGAGGAGTTATTTAAGTTCAGCACCAATGTGGACCCAAGAATAAATGGATATAAACTGGCCATCAAGAAGTTTAGGCTTGAAATTAGATGGCGATTTCTAACTATCAGAAGAGTGAAGTTCTGGAACAGCCTTCCAAGGGGAGCAGTTGGGGTAAAAAACCTAACTGGCTTCAAGACTGCACTTGATAATTTTATGGAGGGGATGGTATGATGGACAGCCTAGAATGGTGTGTAAACCGATTTGCAACTGCTAGCAGCAAATATCCCCAAAGGCTGGTGATGGGACACTAGATGGGGAGGGCGCTGAGTTACTGCAGAGAATTCTTTCCCAGGTGTCTGGCTGGTGGGTCTTGCCCACATGCTCAGGTCTAACTGGTCACCACATTTGGGGTTGGGAAGGAATTTTCCCCCAAATAAGAGTGGCAGAGACCCTGGTAGTTTTTCGCCTTCCTCTGCAGCATGGGGCCTGGGTCAATTGCAGGTTTAAACTAATTTAACAGTGGATTCTGTGTAACTTGAAGTCTTCAAATCATGATTTGAAGACTTCCATAACTCAGCCACAGGTTATAGGTGTATTACAGGAGTGGGTGGGCAAGATTTTGTGACCTGTGATGTCCAGGAGGTCAGACTAGATTATCATGATGGTCCTTTCTGGCCTTAAAGTATATGAGACCTGAGGGCTTGAAATGCCCTTTCCAACTGTATGATTGATCTGTGATTCTGTAAATCAAACGGGTTCATTGGTGGGGGAGGAGCACACATGGTGAGATTCTGAAAAAGCCACCTTGTTACTAGTCCTGATGTACAGAAAATGCAAAGCAAAAATGAAAACAGGTGCTAAAGCACCTCTGATTTTTTTAAATCATCTCACTCTTCTCCTTTGTCATTTCAAGCACTGGGCAGCACAGCCAAGATAATTCACACCTTCCTAGTGCAAGAGCATCTTACACAATGCAAGAGCTACAAAATAGTAACTTCCAGCTGGAAGTTATTATATGCCTCTGGTGGAGAGGCCTGTGAAACCACAGGACAGAGTAGGCAAGAAGAGGAGCTGACCCTTTCTGAAGTGAAAGGCAATTCAATCTAATAACTGCATAGAGCAGATGTATTTGGAGATATTATAAACCAATACCTTCCCAAACACAAGAGACAAACTCAGATGCTCCAGCAATATGATTCAGGTGAGTCAAAAATCTCCATTTAGAATATACCCTAAACACCTGGTAATCAAAGGTGGACTGCAGAGCATTGGGCTTCTGCCCTCCTTGCGTCTTTATGATAGTTAAAGACCACCTGAAGGGATGTTTGTGTTTTTCTGTTTGGGTTTTACTTGCGAAATGTCAAGTCTCTTATCCCCTGGATTGCTGGAGACACGGGTTTAAGAGCATGTGTGTTGTGAGTTTTTACACCTTGACTTAAGGGAGAGGGTGCTGAATCTTTAACAAAGGCAATTTTTCTCCAAGCTGTTAATTTGTCATTTGAGTTAATTAGGTGTTACTGAAAACAAACAAAAGAAACCCAAGGAGGTTTAGACAATCCGACTGAACTCCTCTCCTCTTGCTTACTCTGTCTGTTCACTCTTGTGAGTGTACAATTTCACTAGCTCTCAAGTTGCCACACAGTCTACCGGGTAGATAAAGTAAGAAGTTCTAATGTATAACAGAACAGCAAAAACACCCTTTTTAAAAAACAAAGAAATCTTTCAAGCCTTCTTTTTAAGTGGTCAAAAAGAAGCAAAAAGGGTACAAGCCCTTTTTTTTGCAGGTCACTTTTACCTGCTGGATTGTGTCTTAACTAAGCACAGACATGTGGAGGATAGAGAGGTTATGGAGGAGGGGCAATTCTACTGATGAAACACACACGCAGGCAGAGCCCACCCCCTACCATTCACGTTCTTTATAGTCATACCTCACACTAACACAACTCCCCCCATATTTATACTTGGGGAACACAGAGACTGGAATGTGGATACGCCCCAGCCCAGAGGCACATGGAAATGGGGTGAGATATGGTTTCTTGTCCCCTGCCTCCCTGCCCCACACACAGATCCAACCACAACCTAATCCAAATCTTCTGTCTGTAGGGTAAGTTCAACCAGTATCAACACACAATGCAAGAGGCTGTTGCAGCAGTGTAATGCAAATCATACCTCCTTTTGTCTCTAAGGTTATGGGCACTGGCTCTGAAAGAGAATAAAAAATTAGTGATAAATTGTTATGCTGCATAGGAAAAAAGCAATCAGTGTAGACTATATGGCAAGGCTATTGTTATCTATCCTGGGTACAATTTTCAAAAGCACCTAGTGACTAAAGTCTCAATGATTTTCAATGAGAGTTAGTTTCCTAAGTCAATTAGGTGCTTTTGAAAAAGTTAGCTCCTCTATATACTCTGTTGTAAATGCCTGTAGAATGCCATGCACGCTAATCAGTGATGCCACTTCTGACCCCTACGGCACAAGGCTAGTAGAAGAGAGTGGAAACCAGTTGGACAGTTAGAGCAAGAACTTAGATAACAAGAACAAATAATAATAAGAACATAAGAATGGCCATACTGGGTCAGGCTAATGGTCCATCTAGCCCAGTATCCTGTCTTCCAACAGTGGTCAATGCCAGATGATTCAGAATGAATAAACAGAACAAGGCAATTATTGAGTGATCCACCCCCTGTTGTCCAGCCCCAACATATGGCAGTCAGAGACTTAGGGACACTCAAAGCAAGGTCTGATATCCCTGGCCATCTTGCCTAAGAGCACTGATGGATCTATTCTTCATAAACTTATATAATTCTTTTCTGAACCCAGTTATACTTTGGGCTTTCACAACATCCCCTAGCAACAAGTTCCACAGGTTGACTGTGCACTGTGTGAAGAAGTACTTCCTTTTGTTTGTGTTAAACCTGCTGTCTTTTAACTTTGTTGGGTGATCTTTGATTCTTGTGTTTTGTGAAGGGATAAGTACTACTTTAAAAATGGAAGCCATTGTTACAGATGTAATTGTATATCCACAGATCACGGCGGGCATAAAATTGTTCCTCCAAAGGAAAAGAGGCCAAGCAGAATGTCCTTGCAAAATCTGCCTCTAAAAATCTGTTTCCTAATTATTTTTAGTATTATGTCTGTGTGGTGAATGTCACATACTACTTCACGCCATTTCCTGGGTTCCAGCTCAGACCCTGACTTTATTAAAACATGGTGAGTATTTTTCAGCACTTGCTAGATTAATTGATTGATTTATTTCCTTCCTTCCTTCCTACCTACCTACCTACCTACCGTCCATCCAGGGGAGCACCTTTGCACTCCCAAGTCTCTGTTCATTTCAGGCACCAGGGCTAGCCAAATAGGGCTCCAGAGACTCCAGTGGGGTACATAATCCTTTGATTGTAGAAGGGAAGCGCATGACAAGATGCCCTTAAGCACCGTTCATCACAAAATAGCTTCTAATGTTTTGTGATTAGATCAGAACACTTTCAGTGTGCATCTGTAATGTAGCTAGCACTTCTACTAATAACAATAGCTGGAGGATCACTGTACAGTGCTTCCAGGATAGACAACAACATAAACCTAATAATAATATCTAGGGCCATGTAAACTCTGGGTCCAATGTGTTTATTAGCCCCAAATACTGTTTATATGGGGTTAACAAGGAGCAGCTTAAGTTAATAATACTTTAGTTAGTTAATTAATTACTGTGTGTGTAGAGCACTTTGAAGCACTATAAGTGCTAAGCATTATCATTGTCTGGAAGTGCACTTAAGTTATTTATGAAGATGACTGCATAGAGATGGCTGCTGCTCTCTCCCTACCTGGTCTGGGTAAGACTCTGTAGAGTGTCTCCATGCCACCATGAATATGATCTGACACATGGCAATGAAGCAACCACGTCCCAGGATTCCCAACCACCATCTCCACCATTATGAAGGTCCCAGGGAACAGATCCACAACATCTGCCCTGTAACTCCTGCCATTCTGTCAAAAGGGGAAAGGAGATGTTAGCATGGAATGGTTCATGTATCTTTAAAGAACTCTGGTCTAGATCTGGGGGGCAGGATCCCTCGGCCTGGAAACCTTGGTGATACTACAGTAGTTCATAAGAGTTGTAACAAAAGGTTACAAAAAGCAACCCCAGGAAACTGGAAAAGGAGTGTAACCTGCTAAAGGCTAATCTTGAGATTGGTTAGATAGAGAAATCAACACAATACTGGGATCCCCTGGGTCTGCTTTGGGCATGTAAAATCATCTCCTCTTGCTGGTTACATGACAGTGCTGCAAACACATCCAACTGCATGAAGTTAGTTAAGGGGTCAAATGAATGTAATGGTATCCCAGCCCCAGCCTTCCCTTGCTGCTGGTCTCTGCAATCAGCAGGAGATTCTCACCCTGTATGTGAAGGTCTCGGCATGAAAATGGACTGTATGCACATCGATCTCCTGGCCCATTCCCAGCAGGTACCAGTTAACCCAGTCTCCTTGGTGCATGGTCAATCCATGCAAGTTTGCGTAGAGCTTCCCATTGATGGCTGTGAGGTAGACAACATGTTGAGAAAGCAGAAATGCCTGTTATGTGGATGATAAGGACCTCACAACATGTCAGTACAAAAACACTTTCCCTCAAGGCAGGTTAAACCTTTCAAAGCTCAACTAGGGTCAAGTAAATCAGACATTTCTCTTCTGTTGTGAGATTCCCACACAACATGATTTCCTGACGTTTTGTCAGTCTCCTCCCAACTCAGCTACTGCACCTGCTTTTCAGCTGGGTTGACTGAGTCATAAAAAGGTAAAATGATTTGTCCCAAGGGAACACTATGTCAGTGATGTAGCTTGGTGAAATCTCAGAACCCTCCTCCTTCCTACTTGTCTGCTTTTACTACTGAAGAAAACTCCATCTCCAAGAGCTGAAATCAGCAGGAGCAGCTGGATGCTTTTGAAGATCAGGACATGTAAATATAGTCTTTGTAGCCTAACTGCACTTACACATTTTTAAAATCCACTGCTCATGCACTTACTGAGCAGCGGAAACATTACAGGTCCCCGACAACAGGCAAATTCCAGCATATTACATGTTGTCGTACATTACTCTCAGGTGCTGGTCATTTGTAAACTGCTATTCGGGGGGATTTCATTTCACAATTAGCACAGCAATAATGAGAGCAGCACCTTTGTCTGCAAAGGAAATAAGCATCCAAACCAATGAAAGAACAGCTTAATAAAGCAAGGCAGCACACAGGGAAATCTCCACTGAGGGTGATGGGAGAGGGTACATGCTGGAGAGAGACATGTTCTGAGGCCAGGAACTTCTGGCACCTGTACTTTTCTGTTCTGTCTCTTTTGCTTGGACAATAGTAATGATTAGCTGTCACCTACATACATCTGTGACTGGGGCCTTATAAATGCCACTGTAATAACAGCAACACAGGGCCTGATTCTGTGTGGTGCTGAGCACCACTAAAGCTAAAGGAAGCACTCAGCAGGAATCAGGCCCTTAACATCTGTCAGCCAACGTACAATGTACCGTACACAGTTAACAATCTAAATAACACCTACACATCCAAGAGGAAATGGCTCCCAGCTGGATTTCTAATTCTGGTAGTGGGGCCAGAAGGAGATGCAGGTCGAGAACTGACTTTCCCTATCTCTGCACCTTTGTCGATTAGGCCCATGCAAATGGCAAGGGCAGCTCTGAATGGGACCCAGTAAAATATGTGAAGTGAAGGCCACGCACCATGCATTTTGTTGCTTTCCACAAATTCTTCATCCTGCATTTTGCTTTGATTCCCATGTGCATACGTTTTCACATTTTCCTCCAGGTACCAGGACTGATTTTCATCAAAAACCAGGAAGAGGAGTGCAAACTCCCTGTTGATGCCCTTCCTCCTCCCATCAGAGCCCAGCGCCCCTTTACTGCAGACCTTTAGGGGGCCTATCAGGCCACTGTACAAATCCTAATAGGAAAGAGAAGAAAGTCTGAGGTGTTCAGAGATGGGGATTTTCCTCCCATCCCTCCTGCACACAGTTCTGCTATCATTCAGCACCCTGGCTTGCTGCTCCCTGCAGTACTCTCCATAAAATACATTGCAAGATACTGAATAATCAGTCCTGTGTGTGAAATACAGTCTATTGGAAATAGTTAACAGAAAGTACAAGTGCAGGGCCAGATGCTAACAGTTAATTACTGCTGTGCATTGGGTGCCATGTGGAGCTGTGACTCTCCTACTGACAGTACATGGGGACATTAAGCCACCCCTTAAGAGGTACATGCATCTGCTCCATAGCTGGCCAGCTCTATGTGGCAGTGCAGAATGGCCTTACCTCCTCCCTGCCCCGTTATTTGTCCTGGGGGCTGGAGTGGGTAGGAAATAGCAAAATGTGAAACTGCAGCTGACCCCTGCACAGATGATGCCAGATATTAGGGGAGGGCTCCTTGGACCCCCAAACAGAGCCAAGGATAGGTGCTTTATAGTATGCAAATCAACAGACATGTATTAGCGAAATAATAACATATTTTCCATTTAATGTACTGACTGCACAAAGACCTGGGTTTGGAGATAAAACACAAATGGTTTCTGTGGCTAAATGAGATACTGTACAGGGAGGATTCTCAGTTAAACAAAGTATTTTGAAGTTTAGGGGGCTTTGCTTTTTCTTTGTTAAATAAATCCATATACCATAAAATGCTATAAATGTTCAATGCTCTCTGAATTATCTAGATTGACTAATTCTGGATGATTTCTACCTTTCCAAATTTAGCTCTGAGCTGTCTAGCTAGGCAAAGCCATAACTAATGGGGCGGGGGGATGTGATAACACCGTATAAATATTTGAAGCGTGTTAACGCCAAGGAGCGGGAGGAATTATTTTATGAGGGACTATATTAAGAAAGGGAGAATTTACGCTTAATATCAAGGATAAACCTCCCAACAATGAAATCTATCCACCTGTCGAATTGTCTCCTTAAGGGAAATGGTGAAAGCTCTATCACATGGGACACTGCATTCTAAACTGGACCAAACTCTAAAATATATCCTACAGGGAACAATCCAGACTGTTTCCTAGGAGACTGTCTAAATGATCTCTGAGGCTTTTTCATCTCTAACTTGTTTTATTCTAAGATTCCAACCACCTTTTACCTTTACAGGATCCACCATAGAGTAGTAAACCCAAGAAACGCAGACAGAATCATTTGGTCCTGGACCGGATCTTTCAGGAACGTCCCAGCGGTAAGTTACAATGTCACCTGAGAGATGAAAAGGAGTGACAGTAGTCGTAGTTGCTATTTGTACTACAGCAGCCCCAGCCCTGGGCCGGGACCCCCATGCGCTATACAGACACAGAACAAAAACATGGTGCCTGCCCCAAAGAGTGATATTATGGCAGTCTCATAGGCGTTGCAGATTCTTTCCCTGGTTGTGTACAAGAGACTAGAGACTCTTTCCTCCTCTTACAAACAAAGGAGGTGGCGTGATGGGGATGGGGAGTGGAAAAGGATCTGAACTCCAACTTGTGGAAAATCACCTCATCTCTACCTGCATCACCCAGGACTAGAGCTCTCCAGGGAAATTCTGGCTCACTTCCTGGGAGACTTGGGGTGACCTTTGGAAACTTTGAAGTATATTCACAGAGGTGCCTGCCACTCTCATTCAGATTCAACTTTTTGTTATATATTATACACAGTTTTAAAAATAGAAGCTGATTGAGAGTCTGGATGGCTTGTAGGGGCTGCGTAGTCCGGATACAGAACCTATGAGATGCCAGCTCCAGTCAAGCCTGCGGTGGCAGAGACCAAAAGTTGTTACCTTGAGTGAGGGCTGTGAAGGGAAATGGAGTTGGTGGTCTCAGAAGTTCCTAGCGGACAGTTGTCCACATTGTAAAAAAATACTATCACTGCCAAATGTCACTAGTTGGTCCCCTCATTGGCAGTCTCATGGCCAAGCACTGACTAAGCTCTGGACACTAAACATCCCAGTGACAGAGTGCTGAGAGATGGAGAGCCAGCACTCCAGTCACTATTAGCACCACTTAGGTTCCCAGCAAAGGCCTGATTGGTCAGGGGTGTGCCTGATTATTAGGCCACACTGGGGTTAGGAAGCTAATGAGCTAATTAGCCTATTAACAGACAAGTGGTTTAAAAAGAGCTTAAGAAAGCAGAAAGAGAGGAAGAGAAACAGAAGGCAAGGTGAGACTGACAAAGGGCATTTGCAGAGCAGAGCAGAGCAGAGCAGAGCAGAGCAGCCTTACTTTCCCTGCCCCCACCCCTACTATTCTGGAGAAGGGATTCGAAGGTTGGATACAGTTCAAAAGAGCAGAGACCTGGTGGTGTTTACAAGCAAGAGAGTCTCAGAGCAGTCTGTGTTTGTGGACAAGGTGGGAGTGTAGCATGCTGCCCAGTTACAACTGGGGGCTTGTCTGAGATTTGCCTGTATCCATTTTGAATGGATGGTGTAGGGATTTGGCAGTCTGGGTGATGGAGGGAACCCTGCAATGGCAAAGAGAGCTCCTGAAGACCTTCCAGTGATTTCCTTGCCCTTGCAGAGAAATAGCCCTTGCTTGCCTGTTCATGTGCTAATTAGCTCATTTGCTTTCTAGCCCTAGTGGGGCCTAATAATCAGGCACACCCTGGACCACTCAGGCCTTCTCCAGAGGATCCTAACTGATGCTAATAGTGCCCAGAGTGCACAGTCCCTCTCATTTCTAGAGGTGAATCCTCCAGGGTAGGGGTGTGCTGGTGGTGAGTAACCTATGGGAGGGAATTTGCACTGCCTCTACCCAGGCTGTGTGCCTTCTGTGGATAAAGAGAGGATGTTATCGTCCAGGGCTGCCAAGCCAGCCCATTAGATGAACAACAAAAACAAATTGCACATGAAAGTCTGGTTCCTTGTCAGCTCCAATTACTTATCACATTAAAACAAACACACCAGAATAACTTCTACCCTCCTAGCTGGGCCTTTTTAATGGGTTGAGTCGCCATTGCCTGTGGAAACAGAAGTTACCCCAACTAATAGCTGATTACTGACTCACCAGGCTTTGCAGCTTCCACCTGTCCATCATTCCTTTCCAGTACCCCATGTGCATGAATGGAGTAGGGTTGTGTAGCATTGTTCTTAAACACAATGTTGAGGACATCTCCAACTTCTGCCCAGATAAAAGGACCTTGAGACAGGAAGATCATATTGTGAGTGCAGCTCCCATCAATGGCCAAAAGAGACTATTTCTGTCTCTCATTTATTGAAAACACTTTAACGTGAGAGTGGGAGGTGAATTCTTCATCACCGTATCCCTCCTCCATTCCCCAAAGTAAAGAATCAGAGTTAAACCCACATTCAGGAAGATCCTGAAAACTCTGATTGTTAACGCTTCAGGGCAGGGAACGTGTCTTGTTGTGAGCACAGCACCCAGCACAGCGGGACCCAGCTCTGATCTCTGAGTGCTACCATAATGCAAATGATATATCATCATCATCCTCCAACTACAATCCTCAACGGTCTGGTTTAACCAGACCTGACTATGTGAAATGGCCTGACACAGTGACGGCTCACAGCCATCACCTGCTCTTTTAGATTGGATGTGCTGCCTCACGTTGCTTGTGCTGTACTGAAATATCCTGGAGTGAGGCACTGGAGCTGTTGCCTCCTTAGAGTCTCATAAGAATCCACAGCCTGCTCCTCTGCTTCACAGTGCCTGGTTCTTTCTTTAATGATTCTACACAGAAGGGTTTCTTTCACACTTGGCGATTTCCATCCATAACTCTCCAAGTGCTTTACAAAGGTAGGGTTTATCCCTATTATACAGATGAGGGGGAACAGATGTGAGAACTGACCTGGCCACAGCCAGGCAGAGTCAAACTCAGCTCTCCCAAGTCCCAGTTCCTTGGTTCATTCTTCAGGACTAAGTCTCAGCCCTGTCTGAGGGAAAGATGCACCACTCAAATAATTGCTTACCCAATATCCCTAAATGCTCCTCATCGCTGGTCCTGTTCTTGGGTATTCTGAATGTTCCATCAGTGTATTCCCTGTAAATTGCCTTCTTGTACTTGGAGCCCAGGAGTCCGTTCTCATTGCTGAGAAATTGGTTGCCATAGCTAAGAAATGCAGAGTGCTGTGTTACATTAACACTGCTGTGTTTGCATTAAAGAAACAGCACTTCTCTGTGGGGAGAGGGTTCATTAACTGAACCAGTTTCCTCTCTGAAGAGTCTCCAGTTTCATATGACATCAGCTGAGGGAGCTGAATGGCTCTGGGAGTTGATAAGAGGATACAGAGCCACACACTTCCAAGCCACCCATTGGAATCTGTCTTGGGATGATAGTGATCAAAGTTACCTCACTCCCTTATGAGGGATGGCTGCTCACTGGCTTGAAGGGTGTTAGGGGAAGATCAGTCTATTTGGCAGTGGACAGATGTCTGTATCAAAAAACCACCACCTCAGCTGGCGCCAGTGGGTGGCCAGTAATGCAAATGGGGCACAGAGATGGAATTTCCCTCTCACATACAGATATGCAAGGAGCTGCAGCATACAGGGAGGAAAAACACTCCCAACATTTGGATTAAAGGGAACAATTGCCCCCCAAACACCAATGAGGGCCGTCTTCAGTACCATGGTGTGGGCAGCCAGTATCCGTCCAATCAGCAGAGGTTTGGCTTTCTCCAGTAAAAAGCCACTTCCCCTGTTTTAATGGGTTCTACAAAGCTTTGCCTGAAGGCGCCACAGGCTTCCCCAAGGTGCCCTCTTTACCTTTCCTGCCCAGAGATGTTATGGTGGTCCAGCTCCCAGCTGCGATCTGGTGAGTAATCCCACTCCACCTCTTGTGCCATGATGTAGTGTGTCCGCACCTCCTCGTATTGGGGGTCAGGAGCAGGTGCCCCTTTGCCACACTTTGAAACAGAGTAATGCGCCTTCATCCCAGACTGGTAATGGTTGCTAGTCTGACAGTAGATCTGAAACGTGCCTAGGGGCAGCACAAACAAAAAGGTCAGCTCTAAAGATCTAAGTAGGTCCTTTCCTTGTCATGTGAGATGAACTGGGAAATAGCTGTATTATTTCTTATGGCTATGGTGCATACTTCTGTGTGTGTTTATGATGTGTCTCTTGCTGTGGGGTCAGATCCAGCGTTGTTGTTAGAGGAGCCAAGCAGGAAGGCAAAACAATGGCCTAGATAAGGAACATCCCAGCAAGCACTCACACACCAGCCAAGTTATTAGCTGTAAAGAAGCTAGCTGCTTGGTGCCAACAAAGTTACACAGCTGTTTTGCCAAGTGTGAAAACTGAGAGATCAAAAGACACTGAACAGTTAAAGGATTCATCCTGCAGAAAGGGAGGGGAAGGAAGGATTGACACAGTGAGAGGGTCTGCAGGGATGAAAGCAAACCCTCAGATTCAGAAAGGAAGTCTGGGATAAACTGGACCTACCTGAGCAAAAGTGAGAGATACTAAGCTTAGGTATGATAAGATGCATATACGACCTTTTGTTTTAAAGTCATTTTCCTAAATGTGGTGTTCCCTTTGGCAAATCAATACAGTACTTTGTTTTGAAGAGGCTCTTTCTGTGTCACTGCAAATTCTGTGTCACTGCAAATTCCACAGTATGCATCCGATGAAGTGAGCTGTAGCTCACGAAAGCTCATGCTCAAATAAATTGGTTAGTCTCTAAGGTGCCACAAGTACTCCTTTTCTTTTTGCAAATTTATCCTGTCACAGGCTGCCGGAGTGAGAGGACCTACCAGTGTCAAATCTAGTTGGGCCTGTCAGGTTAACGCAGTTGGGAAATGAGTGCTACAGCCCAAAGATCTAGTTTATGAATGGTATGGCTGGGTGGTTCCACCCAGAGTGAGGGGCAGGAAGCCAGTGCTGTCCCTGGAGGGGTGCACTCAAGAGGAAGTGACAGGGGTCTGAAGTGCAGCTCGCCCTATAACTGTGACACCGCTTGTAGACAAATCAGCACAAGAGAACAAATATTAACATTTGAGATAACTTCTCTGATGCCCAGTCAGCTGTGCAGACATCTACCTTCATGATCAGGCTGCATGAGGGCAGTAGCAAACGAGTGAGGGAACAGATTGGTTGCATCTCTCCTCATCCCGTTCATCTGAACAGTGTTTCCCTGGAACGCAGCTCCATGCACATCTGTGTCAGTGCCCAGACCCAGAAAGTGCCAAGACACAGTGTCCCCTTTACACACTTCCAGCTTGGGCAAGTTATAGAACATAAATCCATTAATCGCTGCAACAGAAAAGAATTAAAACCACACAGTTACACACTAGCCAAGAGGTCATCTCTATTTACACATACCTACAGTGTAGGGAAACCTATGGGAATTGCATATTGCTGTGTATTCCTCAGTACAGCTCACCAGCAATTCACCCCTGGTATTTGCTTGAGACATGCTTTTGGGCACAGGAGGACCTCATGTCCCATGACCCATTCTCCAAGACAATGCTATGTAGAGAATTTTCAAAAGAGATGCCTTTTGATGCAAATCAGAAATTTCATTCCCAAGTCCACCTGATCTCTCTCTCTCTCCACATGGCATGTCGAAGGTACCTGTACTGGGATCCATAGGTGCCATGGCAGTAGTTAGCTATTCCAGAGTTTTTAGGACCAGTTAAAGATGGACCTAGGCTAGGACTCATAGTTCTGGACCCAAAGCTCATAATTCTGTTCTCACTGCCTACGTACAAGAGAGAACAGGGCCATACCATGCATCCTGTTGGACTCCTTGAAGCCTTCATCCTTTTTCACGAAAGCCTCTTGTGTCCTCAAATAGTATTTTATATTTGCAGGTAAATACCAGCTGAGGTTCTCATCAAATACACTGAACAGGAGATAAAATTCCTTGTCGATCCCTTTCTACAATAATAATCACAATAATGGTCATTCATTTTAAAAACACACGGATCACCCGTTAACTGTTAAAGTACAGGCTGCTTTGCATGATGGCAATTTCTAATTTTTTGTTTCTTAAGTTGTCCACTTCCACCTCTTAGGGGGCCAAATTCTGATGTCTTTATTCATGCTGAGTAGCACTTACTTTACAAGTGGTCCCAGAGCAGCACTGGGACCATATGTGAAAAAAGGTATGAGTAAAGCATGAGTAAAGTGATCAGAATTTTGCCCAGACTGAAAAGCCATTCTCTCCTTCCCCCACAATCCATAAATTCGGGTGCTGGACACTCCCCACCAGTTTCCAATAGGGTCAAAATCCGAACACTCCCCACTATGCAGGGTCTGGAGTTGGGCCCACCTAATACAAGATCACAATGCAGGATTGTTTCCTACCATCAAGACTTGAAAACTTTGTCGAGTCCAGTTTGAACTGACAGAAGCAATGAGACTTCCACAACTTCTCCTGAGGAACCTATTCCACACACTAATATGTTTCCCTATTAGGAGCTCTTTAGCTGATATTTAGCCAAAATTTCCATTTGCTCAGTTTCCTCCCCTTATTCTTACTAATACCCCCTTGGACCACTCTTAATTATTTGACCCTAGGATTTATTTACACCCTCAAATACCTGTAAATTGTTTATCATTATAACCTCCCTTCCACCTGCCAAGTTATACATAGTTTAACCTTTCCTCAAAATCAAACTCTCCTGCCCCTTAACCGGGTTTATTGGTCTCTTCTGAACTCTATCTAGTTTAGCCACATCATTCTGATCCAGAAAGCAAGATCTTCAAGGGAGGCTTTTAAAGCAGCTGCTTTGCAGAGTCACCAGCAACTCCCCAATCCACATTACAGTGTATTCACAATCATGCAGCTGGTTTTGTCTTCTGTTGCCCCCTGTTTGTCATACGTGGGCCTGTTACTTCAGTGCTGCCTTGTTCCCTTGTGTACTCATTGTGCTACTTTGGCAGCACCTGTGAAAAAGTGTTGAACATTTCTTCATTAAATTCCAAGGAAAAGTGTTAGTCCGACCTACGATTTCACTTATCTCCACATCACAAAAGCCTGCAGAATACCATCCATTTTATGTGCTTTTGTTGTAAAATCACCCCTTCATTTGAATTCTTCTCAAAATGGGCTGAGTTTAGAGTAGAACCTAGCTCCATTTGAAACTCAAAATGTTTCATCTTTCAAGCAAAAAATTCACAAACCTTTAGCAAAAAGGGGCCTGTTTTCAACTTAGTATGAAAATGATTTTCAATATTTTCAATTTTGTGGTGAATTTTTCACACACCTCTCATTAATAATAGGAAGAAGAGGAAGAAAAAGAATAGGGGCATTCTGCCCTACATATATTAGGACAAATGTATCCCTGTGTAATCCCATAACTGTCAGTATAGGATCAGACCAAGGATTTTGACAAAATCCACCAAAATGCAAAAGGTTTCCCTTTCCCTTTAATTAATTCCCAAGATTAGATTAGTCAAAGATTAGTCAAAGACCTCAGGAATCCAAAGTGTTACGCTTCTCCCATAAGACACTTTGATGCATGAAGTTTGCATGGTTGAGGCAGCGCCCATATTCTGCCTAGATGCTTTTATTCTAATCTGTGGGGCACCCTCACCCATATATTTTTAATTACATTTCAGTTACCAAGGTTTTATTGGGGTCTCCTTTCTTTAGTTATTTCTTCCCCAAGGACGAAGAGCCTGAAACATTGCAGTGGGAGAGCTGACTCTACCTGCTTGTTGCTGGTGTTGAGAGTCCCAGGTCTGCAGATCACCAGAGGGCCCACTAAGCCGGAACTGGTATCTTGGATGGGATTTATCGCAGAGGAGTACATCCAGGTCAGGCAAGGAGGGTCATTGGCTGTGGGTCCAACGTGCTGTGGTACAGTCCAGTGGTATGTGAAGTTACGGAGAGGCTCAACTGAAGCCCCATTCCATGACAGACCTTTAAAACACAAAATGCTGATATGTATTCATGTATACAGCCCCTTTTGCAAGCTCTGCAGCTCGTTAGTGTCATCTGCTACTGTGATTCATTTCACTCACCACCAAAGGGCAGCCACCTCTGGGGTAGAATGGGGCAGCCATTATATATATTTCAGAAATACAGTAGGGGAATATTTACAGATTACTGGACATACGTGTGTGGGCAAATTTAGCGTAGGTGTCAGACAGAGGTGGGCCTCATGGCATGAAATAAAGAAATATATCCAATTAAATCCTCAGGAGAATTTTGGTAGGTGGAATATAGCTACCCAAATTACAGTGTGAACAGGGATATAAACCTCTGCTCTTGAAACAACCATCACAGGATCTTTAGGGGCCAGAAATGGTCAGCACCGTGATTTCATCTCTCCTCCAAGAGATAGTAGCTCCAGCTCCACCTCCTCTCTGGTGCCACGCTGGGCAGTGGTTCAATGATAGGTCAAAGGGAAGAACATCCCCTACTGCATCCCCAGCTCACTTCTCATGGTACACTAGCTGAGCAGGCCCCGCTTTACTCAGCTAGTGAGATTGGAGAGGACCACCACCCAGTGGGGTGAGGCTGCAGACTGTGGAACCATACCACAGGGGTTGTCATTGCCTCAGTTTAGAAAGAGGGGGTGGGATGAAGTAACAAACCGTCGTGGTACAGCGTTCCTTCCCATTCCTTTCCATAAAACACACCATGGGGCTGGATACTGAAGGGCCAAGAGGCTTTGTTAGCAAATGTCACCAAGACGGTGTCTCCCACTTCAGCTTTTATCACTGGACCTGCAGAGAGAGAGAGAGAGAGGATAATGGAGTGATTTCCAAGATAACTGGACAAAACAGGCTATCCATGGCCATTTTCTACCCAGAGTTCACAGCCACAGATGACTAACAGCAATGGGTATAGCAGAACCACCAGCTGTCTGGTTTTGGCCATGCTAAGTAGGACTGCTAGCCATTCAGGCAGACTGGCATTTGGGGCAGGGAGGGAGAAACTATTTAAAGTAAAATAGCTTGAAGTTTGACTGAGAGAATTCAGTGAAGAGGTTACTCCAGACCCAAAAGGCTGGGATTAAATGGGAGGGAGAGGGAGAGCTACCCCCTACTCCTTAGCTGGTGCAGTGAGAATTCCCCCTCCTGATTTATGTCCTGTGCTTACTCACCACCCCTGATCCTACTTTAAATCAATGACCAAAGTTCCATTGCCGTCAGTGTGATCGGATCAGGCCTTTCATCTCCCTAATGGCCTGTATGAGAACTAACCCCAACCAGCCAGACTAATCGATCTATTAATCTAATCTAATCTAATCTGACCTATCACATTCCTGTTGTGTCTCTCACCAGAGTATTATCTAGGCATCAAATGCTCAAATTATAGATGGTATTAAAATAATTCAAAGGAATTAATGCTGTGCCCCTCCATACATGATTCATTCGCTCTCCAAGTCCCACTCTTTTTGTTTCATCATTATCTGATCACAAAGAGCACTGCCAGCTCCTCCCGAGAAGAAGTTTCTAAGTAGAAAGTGGGGTTCGTATTGCGTCCTGAAGACACAGTCAGAAACACATAATCAGAAGCTCAGGCAGACGAGCGCTTTGCTGTGATTTGTTTAGTCAGAGATAGGGGAATAATGTGTTCCTTGCCCCTTCCTGGTAGCTTCCAAAGGTTGCTGTGGCAGAACAATACTGGGGTCCCCCAATCACAAGACCACCAGCCCCCCCAGTATAGGTCTTCCTTGCTCTAAAGAGCTGCAGTGTAATGTCATCCAGGAAGCACCTCCACCACAGAGGGCATTACTTCTAGGAATTATTCGACAGTGCCAGCCAATCAGCATTTCTCTGGTGCTGATAGATCATTCTAGAAGGTGCTGTAAGAGGGTTTATGTTGCCAGACAATCCCTACCAAGTATCCCAAGGTGCATCTCTTCTTCTGACCGTTGTTTTTCTAGCCGGAACGTTGCATCAGTATATTCCACATACTTGGCCTTCCAGTAGGTTCCCCCAATCCGCCTGACGCTATGCTTGAAGAACTGCTCAGACGAACTAAACACAGAGAACAAATTTCATGTCCTTTTACAAAGAGGCAAACTCCCCTGCCGCCATCAGGGTAGTGACAGCAGCAGCTCTCAGCTCTGCAGCCCTTTAAATTGAGTCTAAACCTCTGATTTTGAAAACCCAGCAGTGCCAAGTATAGTAATGCCGTTAGGTAGCACTTTTCATCCGGGAGTGTGACAAAGCCCTTTACAAACTGATAGGCAGACTTTATGTAGGGATCACCTCAATCTCCGCAGGAACGCAGCCAACTCTGTGCTGGAACATGGCCACTGTTTAATAGTTATACAGCAATTCTGTACAACAGTTTGGGCTCAGGATTCACAGACTAGTATATCCAAATGAAACTGCAGTACTGACTCAGAGGGAAAGATGCCCTCTATTGAACCAACACCACTTCAGCACAACTTTCCATGGAGGTCTTGGGAAAGCGCTATGAGAACTGGGATGTTTTGGGTAGTGGCAATCCTAACTCTAAAAGAAACACACATGAAATGAAAAGAGACTAATTCCTTCTCGCCGTCCCCTCGCCTGCATTCCAAAATGTGCCCTGCAGGAGAAGCAGCAGAGTCTAGTGGTGAGAGCACAGAGCCTGGGACTCTTGAGGTCGAACTGTGGCTCTGCTACTGGCTCACTGTGTGGTTTGTTGGGCAAGTCACTTAACCTCTGTGCATTTCAAGTTTTCCCATGTGTAAAATGGGCATGACATTTACCACCTCCTAGGGATGAGTGTGAGAATTCATTAGTTTCTATTTGCAACGTGTTCTGAAAATATTAAACACCCTTATGTATGCTAAGTATTATTTCAGCTGTTTGGAATGAAAGGATGTAAAACTCTCAAGAGAGCTATTCATTTAAATCGCTCTGCATTTGCTGCTAGATTTCACGTAGAAGGCTAGATGGAAGCTGAATGTAAATCTGTAGTACATCTATGCCACCCTGTGTCTGCCACTGGATTTGCTTTTTTAATCGTAGCTACTTTCTTTTATCAAACTCGCAGGCTTCTTGCTAAGTCAGGTACAGTGAGTGGAGATGGAACTTGGAGGCAACTGTGATGTGTCCCTCAACCATACAGCATGCTGGGACACCTGAAAGCTTTGTGAATGTATGTTATGTGAATCGCATGTTAAACCATTCCATTGAAAAAGGCATTCCAAATTTCCTTGAGAGTGTTTCTGTCAAGCTTTATTCCAGACAGTGGCTACAGATTTTAGTACAGTGCCTTGCATGCAAAAATCCTCTTACCTGCCTGGCTCCTGAAGACTTTTCCCGGTGCTCTGGTCAAGCCCTGAGGGTCCATAATTCCACTGTACTTCCTTTGCAGCTATATAGTATCTCCGAACTGTCCCTTTCAGGGAGGACTCTGGAGCTTTCTGAGAACACTGTCTGACTTCGTAGACTGCTTCCATTCCAGCTGTACATGGGAGAAGCAAATGCACACTTAACTTCTGTCTGCCACTCTGAATGGAAGGTGGACAGGGGACCTATTTCCACAGTGCACCACCCATTCTCTTTGCACAAGTCATTGAGCCCAGTTGTCCCAAATTATGCATGGCTGGGAGTGAGTGTTTAGGCAATTGCTTCACATATGAGAGTTTTCTTTTCCAGCAGGCCTACCTAAATACAGGACATTGCATTAGGGTGGTTGGTGGACAAAAACAGCCCTCAGCCACTCCCATGTGTACCATACAGGTACAGCCTGGAGAGACTACAGGTCCCAGCATGCAGTGCTCCACTCTGATGTAAAGCGCCTTCTGCAGCACCACCAGCTGCTCCAGTCCTGTGATATTCAGTGCTGAACAAGAGATGTCACATCTGGCATCTGTAATCCCTGTAGGTTGCACCTACATATTAAAGACCAGGGTGGCTGTAACTCACCAGTTTTATGCAATATAGGGGGAGCCATCAGATCAAATCATTGATTACACAGCAGGGGAAGTCCTTTTAGCATGGGGCATTGCCCACAAGACTGTTCTGCTTCATCCCGTAATGTCAAGGGGCCACAGTGGGGAAGTGAATGGGGGCCGCAGAGTGCAGGACAGATTCCAGACTGTGCCTTACCTTGCAGGTGATTGTTGACCTGACAGTTCAGAAGCCATCTCCCAGTGTTACTGGGGATCATGTCAGCTGTAACAAAAGTGGCTGGAAAGAGGCTGGCCACATTGGACCTGTGGCCTCTGATGGTGAGTGTCTGTCCATGGAAGAAGGCTGTGTGAATGTCAGTCTCACTGCCCATCCCAAAGAGGTGCCATGCCACGTGATCCCCAGCACACATTGTCATCTCAGGTAGGTTCCCATACACATAACCATTAATAGCTGTAAAACCAAGTGAATGAGAAGCAGAGATCAGGAAGGGGGTGGAGGTGGGGTTCACAGCTCCATCCTGCAGGTCCCATTATAGAAACACAGGACATTCAGAAAACAAGTCTCATCAGAACACCTTTCCCTTCTCCTGCCCAATCCTGGGGAGCCTGCTTCCACAAATCATTTTCTAAGATGGATCTTATTCTAGACATCAGATTAATGGCCACACGTTCACTGAAGGTAAAAGCCAAAACCCTGACAAAAATTTTGATTGTTTTGATGGTGCATCTTTCAGCACAAGGTCTCACTGGCTTCTCAAACCATCCCTGCACACATCAGATGAGACTGCACTTCAGGGTATCAGGGAAGGAGCTCCCCAGGCATAGATTGACTGGGCAAAGCCAGTGTGAAAGGTGGCACTCACCATGCATTCTGTTGCTCACTTGGAACTCCTCATCTTCC